ATTGCAAATTTTGCATTTGACAGGATGTCCTTTATCAGTTTAGGCAAAATCAGGCGGCTATTTAATTACTTCACGAGCTCTTCTGCAATTCCATCGCCATTTTGCCACTGATCACGATCACTCTTTCGAGATTCGATGTTTTCACGCCAAGAAAAGTACAAAACCAAAAGAACATCAGCGAAACGAGTCAATAACTACATTTGCACAAACAAATTACAAAAAGTAAGTTGAAGGAGAAATTAGTTATCAATGACATTTGTAAAATAACGTGCTAAATGCGTAGTTTCCAAATTATGCTATTAATCCTATTCTTCGAAGCATCGATGCTTATAGTTTCACCGAAAATGTTCTCGATCCTGCTCATGCAGTGAGATGCAGCTATCAAGTATTTCCTCAAGAAGAAACATGTGTGTCCAACGGGATAGACATTGGGGCACGACTGCTCCATCAATGGAGCTGCAGTCAAGGTTAAAAAGATCACCTCTAAGCAAAACTGCTTAGTCCTTAATACCTAGATGAAATTACAGTCAATGGGAACTTCATCGTTCACACCTGTTTTGTTATAGACCCTGTCACTCATCGCAGCGAAATTATCGTGGACAGCAATGGGTAGGTTAATGTTATATTTCTTACAAGTTATTTTTGCGTGAAATCAAACAGCATACATTCATAATGAGAGCACTTGTGCTGGCATCTCATAATAAAGAATAATGAATTTTCCTATGTATACCTTACAAAAGAACAAAATGAGCATCGATAAGTAAGATAGTACTCAACTCCAGCTGCACTGTCGATAAGTCGATCATTACCAACATATCTTATGCAAAGAACGGTACCGTAACAGCATTAGGAAAGGCTATCCGGTTCCCTGATACTCCTGTTGTCAGCTATTCATGTCGGCTACGTCTGCTCAGTAAGGAAATCGATCCATCTGTGAGTATAATCACCGATTCTCAGGTTTGAAGGTTCTCAAAAATGCAGAAAGCAGATACATCCGATCAAAAGTATCCCTTCAGACATTTTTATGCCGTTCAAAACGAGGGGTAGTTCAGCTTGGAAAAGACGCTGTTTTGGCAACAGTGGAACCATACACAAGAGAGTACGTAAGTATACTTCTACCTTAGAAACATTCGAAGTTTTTTAAAGGCATAAAACTATTCATCTAAGGATACCGCCGTGTACGACGACGATGTGGGGGCGATGTTTTCTGGTTTAGGACCAGCCACGAAGAAAATGATGAAAGGTATGAGTGATTAAACTTAACATCATTTTAAGCCATTATTAGCTATAAGTGAAAATAGTAGTATGTGATGCAAAACAATATTTCATAACAGTATTTCAGAGAAGACCTCAATAGAGGAGAGGTCAAGATCTATTCTCTCATCATCCGTTCCATCTTTAGCGACAGTACGAAGGTTTGAGCAAGTGCATCTCAGAACATTTACAGTGCAAAGCTTTTAGGATATCGTCCATCGCACCTTTCTTCCCATATGGTGGAGTGGACGTCACATTGAACTCAAAAAGCGTCGCTGTTGTAAGGACAAAGCAGGCTAGAGATAGATTCAAACATGTAGATCTTACATCAATTTGAGCATTGCATACCAACCGTGACAACCTCATCAGTTTAGGCTTTGCAACTTCGTTCTAATTCGGCCCAGACCGCTTCTGTGGCAATTCCTGACAACTCATTTATGGAACTTACTGTTCTGAGAGAAGAGACAAAACAGAAGAAACCTTTATTGGTGCCGACCTCAAATACCAGAAACTTGCATTCACTTAATGCCGCCTCAAAAAACGCCAAGAGCTTTGTGAGGCGGTCATCGGAAGATCTCAGTCAGCTATCTACACTTTCTCAACGGGAATTATTAGCCAAAGAAATTATCGCGGACGAGACTACTGCTGACATGGCGACAATGCTTAAAAAATCAGGGTGGCCTTTTCCTCTGCATTATAATTTCCGACTTCGAGAAAGAGCTACTAATGTCGTTTCTACCAAAGACAGCATATATTAATCTCGTTTCTGTTTAGGTCTATATCTACAAGTGTAGCTGCTCACATCTCTTTCACCTCAGCGACAACATCAACAAGAAATTATGAGGAAGAAGTGCAGGATAACGAGGTGATAAAAAAGATTTTACTGTCATTCTGGTCAGCATAAATACTCTTGATAACTGCTATTTGTGAGCAAGTTTTTGCGCATTTTGGTTGCAATAGTTTGGTAATCTAAAGAGTTTCAGTTCGAAATCATTGCTCTATATCCATTCCGTTTCAGTCTGATGAAGTCGTGGAAACGGTTGTAACAAGCGAGTTACTCGTGGTGCTTTTTCCTCATGAGAAGTTCGTCACTGTTCCATAAAAATGCAATGTTAATAACATAATTTGACCTGAAAATAAACTACTTCTTTTAAAGTTTCTCAACTGCAAGTAATGCAGGTTTCTTTTTGCTCCCGAATATATTCCAAATCCCTAGACAGCTTTTAATAAGAATGTTTCACTGCATATGTCATAAAACTTTCGCCTGCTGTCATGTCGGAAATTGTCGTGTTGGGATTTATGATACTAAAAAATTTTGAAAAACGATGAGGTTGAGTTAACATAGGGAAAATTTTGCGACACATGCACTTAATGGAAGTTTGGAACAGGTATTTCATTGTTACACATTGACCTTAGTTTTTATTCGCTGGGAAACTGTGCAAATTTGTCGTGCATTCGCTCCGGAATAAACCAACAGAAGATTTTTGCTAATTTTGCTGACATATGAACTCAAACAGTAGCCAATTAGCAACTGATGTTACGGCAGAACAATTATACATGCATTTGACGATTTTCCGTTGCAACCAGCGCAAAGTATT